TAAATAATATTCCATTGTGTGGCTGTACCATGGTTTGTTTATCCATTCATCAACTGATGGCCATCTGGGTTGTTTCCACCCTTCAGCGGTTGTGAATAGTGCCACCATGAATATTCAGGTGCAGAGTTTTGGGTAAATGTATATTTTCACTTCTCTTGGGTGTAGACCTAGGAGTGGAACTGCTGGGTCACACGGTAACAGTTATGTTTATGTGAAGAACTGCCACACGGTTTTCCAAAAATGGCTGTACCTGTATTAACCTGGATGGAGATGGAACATATTCTTCTCAGTAAAGCATCACAAGAATGGAGAAGCAAGAATCCAATGTACTCAGTTCTAATATGAAGGCAGTAGCTGAGCTAATACAAGGGGTACGGTAGGGGAATGAGGGAATTGGGTAGAGGGGAAGAGAGAGGGGGATGGGGGATCATACCGTATGGCACACCTCTTAGGGGCGGGGCACAATTATAAGAGGGACTTTATCTAACAAATGCAATCAATGTAACCTAATTCTTTGTACCCTCAATGAATCCCAAACAATTAAAAAAAAAAGTGTTCTTTGAGATATAATCTAACTCCAGTAAGATTAGCCCACATTATAAAATCCCCAAACTACAGATGTTGGCGTGGATGTGGAGAGAAGGTAACGCTTCTACACTGCTATGAGAATGCAAGCTAATATGACCTTTTTGGAAAGAAGTTTGGAGAACATTCAAAGAACTAAAAGTAGACCTACCATTAGATCCTACAATTCCTCTACTAGGTATATACCCAGATGATAAAAAATTATTTTACAACAAAGACATTTGCACTAGAATGTTTATTGCAGCCCAATTCATAATAGCCAAGACATGGAAACAGCTCAAGTGCCCATCAACCCATGAATGGATTAACAAATTGTGGTATATGTACACCATGGAATACTATGCAGCCATAAAAAAGGACAGAGACTTCACATCTTTTATGTTTACCTGGATGGAGCTGGAACTTATTCTTCTTTGTAAAGTATCTCAAGAATGGGGGGGAAAAGTATCCAATTTACCCAATACTACTATGAAATCAATATATAATCACCTACACATTCATACAAATAGCAAAACATAACTATAGTACAGAAAGTAGAAGGGAAAAGGAGTGAGAGGGGAGGGGAAGGGAGATATGGGGGAGAGGGAGAGTATTTGGAGGGTTCACCTAATGTGCAGGATGCAATGGTACATTTCAAAACTATTAAGAAATGAGTATAATTGTGATGGATGTGTTATTTACTTCAATGTAAACATTTCACATTGTATATCGAAGCAGTACCTTGAACCCCATAAATGCATCAATGTACAAAGTTATGATTTAATAAAAAATAAAAAAAACAAATAAAAGATTAAAAGAAAAAAAATGGGAGTACCATTTTACATTTCCTCTAAAGATTTTTACTAAACTTAACGAACAATGAGGGAACCAGTAAAATGTTACAACCAGTTCCAAGGAGGAGTCAAAGACCCGGTATGTTTGTAAGTCAGGGAATATTGGAATGAATGTGCAAATGGAGGGAAAACTGGCTTCTTTGACAGGTGAGGGGAAGAATCCTCTGAATTTACAAGACAGGACAGAATCTGCTTGTCTGTAAACAAGAAGTATGCTGAGCTCCTATCAGTTATTTATAGTATACAGAGTTGTAAAATAGCTAAGAGATCACAAAAGGGGCACAGCCCCCGGTTAGTCTGACAATGCATAGATTGTGTCGGAAACAGTGATATTTTTTGATCATTTCAAACTTTCTTTTTTTTTTTTAGACAGAGCCTCAAGCTATCCCCCTGGGTAGAGTGCCATGGCATCATAGCTCACAGCAACCTCCAACTCCTGGGCTCAAGCGAGTCTCCTGCCTCAGCCTCCCAAGTAGTTGGGACTACAGGCACCCGCCACAACGCCCGGCCATTTTTTTTTTTTTTTGGTTGCAGCCATTATTGTTATTTGGCGGGCTGGGCTGGGGATTCGAACCCGCCACCTTAGGTGTATGTGGCTGGCGCCTTAGCCTCTTGAGCCACAGGCACCAAGCCCTCATTTCAAATTTTCTTTCACCTCCATAACCTTGGGCCTGCCGCCCTGGTGTCACTCCATGCTCTCCTTGACTGGCTTCAGTCTCCAAGGGCTCCCCCATGACCAGTCTCAGCCCTGACCAGAGCTCCACTAGGGAAGGGCCACCTCCTGCCAGCCTTCCCCACACCTCAGCGAGGCCCATCTGCCCATTCAGTCACCAGACACTCGGCACACATTGCCAGGTCTTAAGAGCTGGGTCCTAGGAAAACATTTATGCCTCACTCACTCATTCAACAAATGTGACCAGAGGTGCCAGCAGCACAGCACAGATTACCAGCCTGAGGGTGCAGCCACACCGCCTGGGGCTTAGATTTGGGCTCTGACTCTTTCTAGTTAGTGACCTTGAGCGAAGTATTTAACCGGTGTCTCAGTTTCCTCGTCTATAAAATGGCAATAAGGTCTAAGGTGCGGTGAACTGATGTGGCATGTGGTACACTGAAACAGGTCTGCCCAATAGTAATAAGGACAACTTATTTTACCCAGCAAAAGACAAGTGCTTGGTGCCTCTGAATCCTCCCATGACCCCCACCCATCCCGCAGTTAAATTCTGAAATGTCACCCCTATGGGTGCCTAGCATGAAATAAAGGCTCAATATTCCGGATGAAAAAGGTGTTGGTTAGATTTAAGTTTGGCTTCTGAAAACACAGACCTGCTGGACAGCTGTCCAAGACGTCTCTGCCCCGAGGCCTAACCGTCCCGGCTCCCCACCTGTTCCGCCAGGCCTGGCCCCGGTTCCGCAGTCTGGTGATAGGGCGACACCTGCCGGTGAAAAGCTAGATGCGCAGCTACAGGTCTCCCTTTCCCGTGAAGTCTCAAACTCCCAGCGCAAGCTTTGGGCTCTCCTAGCCCAGAGACTCTAAGCCAAGGGAGGGGAGGGGCTTTCCTCATGAACACCTGTCATCCAGACTGCACAGACAAAAGGAATCTAGCAAGAAGAGACATAGGAGGGTGTCTCCACCCTCCATTCAGTCTCCACTTACCTGCCAATTTGGTTCTCTAGGGCACTGGGCTTGCCTGGGTTCTAATGTCAATGGGACCATTCTGGGCTCGGAGCCTGTGGCTCAAGCTACTAAGGCGACAGCCACATACACCTGAGCTGGTGGGTTCGAATCCAGCCGGAGTCCCCCAAACAACAATGATGGCTGCAACCAAAAAATAGCCCGGCATTGTGGTGGGTGCCTGTAGTCCCAGCTACCTGGGAGGCAGAGGCAGGAGAATCGCTTGAGCCCAGGAATTGAAGGTTGCTGTGAGCTGTGATGCCACAGCACTCTACCCAGGGGGACAACTTGAGGCTGTCTCAAAAAGAAAAAAAAGGTACTATTCTGTAGGGATTTGAATCCATTCCTTAACCTCTTTGTGCCTCAGTTCCCTGGCCTGCAAAATGGGTACAAAATGGCACTGCGCTATACTGGCACTGTGAGAGTGCCTTCTCTCTGACACAGAGTAAAGGGTCAATATGTTGGTGGCTAGTATCTGTAGGGACCTGGTAAAATAGTAATTGAATAAATAAATATTCAACAATTTTTACCTGGGAGCCTTGAGATGCACTTCCTCAGAGAGGTTGGTGTGGAGTTTCACACAGTGCTGTGCCTCTCTTGGGCTTACACACCTCTCCACACCCATGCCAGTGACATCACCTCCTGGTCTGGGACATGATTGTCCTGTGGGGCAGGGACCGAGTCATCCACTGCCCTTTTTTCTGTATCCCTGGGGCCTGGAACCCACTGGTATTAGATCCTAAATAGGTAATATCTCTTATTTCTTTCCTTCCTTCCCTCCCTCCCTCCTCTTTCCTTCCTCCCTCCTTCCTTCCTTCCTTTTTTGTCTCATTCTGCTGCCCATGCTAGAGTACTATGGCATCAGCCTGTTTCACAGCAACCTCAAACTCCTGGGTTCAAGTGATCCTCTCGCCTCAGCCTCCTACCATGACGCCTGGCCAGCTTTTCTATTTTTAGTAGAGATGGGGTCTCACTCTCACTCAGGCTGGTCTTGACCTCCTGAGCCCAAGGGATCCTCTTCCCTTGGCTTCCAGAGTCCTAGGATTACAGGTCTGAGCCACCCTGCCTGACCAATACCTATTTGCATTTGGTCAAGTGTGATGGTCTGTTTCATTTCTACGTTCCTCCCGTATTTCCCACCTCTGATTGCCAGGTCCCACCTGGGCTGCCTTCTGGGATGGAGTCTCCTGTTGCCAGCTTCTCTATGATGCCCAATCTCCGTGGCTGTGTCCCCAGATCTCCCCGTCAATGTCCACTGCCCTTTCAGTGTCCTCAACTTACCTCTGAGCCAAGATGGCAGCAGCCAACTGGCAGCCACCCCTGCCAGTCACATGGGACCATCATCCTAACTGCCAGCTCTGGTCTGCCCAGGGGGTAAGATGCCAGCAGGGGGCCCTGGGGGAGGGTGAATTCTCCCAGGGCTGGCTCCTTCTCGGCTTCTAGATCATACTTTGTTATTTGCTCAGAGAAGCCTTTCTCAAGCACCGTATCAGCAAAGCTCTTCACCCTGCTCACTCTCCAGCCTTAGCGTCTTATTTCAGCTCCAGCACAGCACACATCACTGTTCAAAATCATCTTTATTCAGATACTTGTATAAAGAGTATAAAGCTCAAAAAAAATTGTGGTATCTTCCCTAGCACTTCCCAGGGCCCGCCATATAGAAGACGCCCTGTTTCTGTCTGCTGTGTGAACTAGCCTTATCCCGCCTGTGCTGAAGGACAGAGATTGGGAGGAAGAAGGTGCTGGGCACACCTGATGCCTAGATGCCCTTTAGTGGAGCTAATGTTCTTTCTCTGGCTCAGGCAGGAAGGATCACCACTTGGCTAGGGAAGTGGGGGCAGGCCCTGGGAACTGTGGCCAGGCATCAGAGCCTGGTGTGTGGTCTCTGCCTCCCGTGGCCAGCCCTTTGACTACTCAGCCTGCCCACAAACACAGGAAGAGAGGGCTCTGAGGGAGTCCTTCACTGTACCCCAGGTCGAAGACCTCCCAGATTTCAAGGGTCTCTCCGCAGCTTCAGGAACCTCCTGGGGGCAGAGCGGTCTAACCTGGGACGGAGCTGGGGTGTCAATCCCTCTGCAAGGCAGCAGCGTGGCTCTGGCCTGGGCAAGATCTTTGCTACCCAAGGGGGTCTTCTGAGTCGGAGGGGGCCGGTTTTCCCCACAGAACACGATGTAGGTCTTCAATGGCGGGATGACAGGCCCCCGGTGAGGGCTGGTGGCTCGGGGTGGAGAGGCTGCAAGGGAGAGCTGTTTCCCACTGGTGCAGTCGATGACAAAAGTCAGGTGAGCCATGGGGACAGCCCTCTGATGTCTGGTCAGCTTCCCAGCTAGAGGGGAGGAAAAGACCAAAGGTCTGTGTTAGCACAAGCAAGGGATGTGGTTTCATTAATTCATTTGTTCATTCATTCAGTAGGGTTTAATTGTGTGTTGGTGGCTACCTGAAGACCAGACAGACCAGGGGTTTAAGAGCATGGATTTCGGCTCGGCGCCTATAGCTCAAGCGGCTAAGGCGCCAGCCACGTACACCTAAGGTGGCGGGTTCGAATCCCCAGCCCGGACCTGCCAAACAACAATGACGGCTGTAACCAAAAAATAGCCGGGCGTTGTGGTGGGTGCCTGTGGTCCCAGCTACTTGGGAGGCAGAGGCAGGAGACTTGCTTGAGCCCAGGAGTTGGAGGTTGCTGTGAGCTGTGATGCCATGGCACTCTACCTAGGGGGACAGCTTGAGGCTCTGTCTCAAAAAAAAAAAAAAAAAAAAAAAAAAAAAAGAGCATGGATTTCAGCATTAGAGAGACCCGAGTTTCAGTCTCCACTCATAAGCCATCTGCCTTCCAGAAGCCCAGAGTCTACTACATCCAGGCCTCTTAACTTTGTGGTTCCCATGGACCTCCTGGGAGCTTGTTCAAATACAGAGTCTGGTACAGTGGGCCTGAGAGTCTGCATTTTGAACAAGCTTCCAGAGAAACCAGTTCTGCTGGTTCATGGAGCATACTGTGAACAGCAAGGTCCTCAACCCAAGTGGAAGGCCCTGGCCACCTTTACAGATGAGGAAACTGAGGCTCAGCTTGTGCAAGTGGTGCTGGTCCTCAGGGAGCCCTGTGCTCCCCTGTGCCTCCCCATATAGTCTTGTGCACAGCTCAGTGGACAGGTGCCATCTGCCCCGGCCATCCCTGCTCTCCCCTGCGGATGTGTCTCCCCCAACCCCAGCTCAGAGCCCAGCACAGGGTAGAAGAATGAATGAATGAGGCAACAGATTTATCAATCAAGCAGGTATCAGAGCAAGTCTATTTAAATCCAAAGCCTGTACTCTTAAAAGAATGACTTTTCAAGTTACCCAAATAATGCACATGTCTATTCTCTTGACTACGTGCTCTTAACCACGACATGGGCTCAGAAGGAAGCTTGAGGTCTGGTGGGTTGGCTAACACAGGAAATAAATGAAGTCCACCCAGGCCTTGAGAATCCCAGCACCCCTGAGGGAGGTAGGACATCTGCCACCAAATCCCACTTCATCCCTCCCCTCAGCTGGTCAGGGACTTTCTGCCATCTCTTACCTGAGCTGGTCCCCAAGCCTGTATCAAGGCTGGTGTCTTTGACGCTGGTTCTCCAGTCCCTGGGGTGTCCTGAGGGCGCCATATCTCTGCAACAGTGCCTGCCTAGCTCTGTCTAGGATGTAGCTCTTCCAGGGTATAGCTCCCTCACCCTGGGATCAGACCTTTTATATTCACCAGAGCCGGATCCTCTGATTGGGTTTCCACCAGAAACTAAAGAAACTGGCCTCAGGCAGTTAGAAGATTGCTTTGATTAACAGGGTTATGTCAACAGGATATTTGTTGGGTCACTGGGAGGCAGCCCTCCTACCAACAGACCCTGTTTCTTCCAACTCCAGCTATTTCCTGATTTGGAATAGGCCTCTGGAACCTTCTCACCCAGACTTCAGTTTCCCAAACCTTAGTCATGATCCCACTGCTTCACCAATTTGGTGGTTTGGTTTTTCTATCTAAGAACTATACATAATACTGCTTACTCAACATGCCCTTGAAGTCAGCCAACTGTTTTTGCTGAAAAAGAAATGTACTTTAAAAAGAAAGTTGGAGGCTGGGCGTGGTGGCTCATGCCTGTAATCCTAATACTCTGGGAAGCTAAGACAGGTGGACTGCTTGAGCTCAGGAGTTCAACACCAGCCTGAGCCATAGCGAGACCCCATCTCTAAAAAAATAGCCAGGGGGCACTGGCCCCATATACCAAAGGGTGGGTTCAAACCCAGCCCCAGCCAAAAAAAAAAAAAAAAAAAAA